TGTTGTTTCAATTATTCAACTGTTCAACTATTCAATACCTGAAATTCAAGTATTTAACTCGTCAGTTGTTCAATACTGGAAATTTCGGTATTCTAGTATGCAGCTACTGAATGGCTGAACCTGAATTATTTAAGCATTTAAGTATGCAGTGGTGGACATGGGTATGATCTGCTTTGGTTACTGTGCACAAAGAAAGATACACGGATTGCGGCTCATCGGTGGCGCTGCGTTCCTGAAGGTCACGATACTGATATAAAAAAGATTTAGGCAGACAAAAGCGATTGCACCCTTCACTAAATGTTCAAGTGTTGATTAATTGAATACTATATGTTTAGTTATTTAATTATCGAATATTTCAATACTTCAACTTCAACTAGCCCTTAGATGAATAATGGCATATTTGAATAGTTGAATTTCAAGTACTCAATTAACGAATTTTTCAATAGTTGAATACTTGACACTGAACTATTCAAATATTGCATAGAATAATAAGTCAATACTCGGAATTCAACTATTCATTTATTAAATAATTGAATAGTTGAATTAAATTTTAAAGCTTGACCTCTATCTGACAGCCACATTCACCATATTACAAATGTCAGCCTCCACGAGCATAAGGATCATAGCGGTTATAATAGGCACCACACACATACTGAGCATAACCGGGATATTCGACATAAAAGGCATACTGTTCATAATGGGCATCATCCGCATAGTTGGAATAATGAACAAAAAGCACATGATGGCAATGATGCGCAAAATGCGCGTAGTGTGCATAATGGGCATAACGAACATCATGGTCGTCATTGGTAACATACGCATAATGAGTATAATGAGAATTATGGGCGCTGTGAGAACAATGGCCGTAATCGAAACAACGGCCATCCTTTATATAGTATGCATAATGGGCATCATGAACACAATGTGTATATTGGTCATAACGAATAAAATGGTCACAACAACCATCATCGGCATAGTGGGTATTATGTCGGTAATGATGATGACGTGTGTAATGGCCTTATTTTGCATAATGTGCATTGTGGCCATAACTGCCATAGTGGGCATTAGGATTGTCTTGGGCATAAACACCATGAGGAGCATAACGCGTATAACGCGAATAATGTGCACAATGAACGCAGTGTGCATATAGACATAACGACCGTAATGGGCGTTATGGGCAACTTGTGTGTAATGGTCATAGTTGCCATAAAGAACACAGTGGCTACAATTTGCAAAATGGCGGTACTAGGCATATTGTGCGAAATGTGCATAATGCCCATAACGACCACAATTGGCACAGATATGATTATAGCCATAATAGGTATCATGGCAATAATGGGCACAATGTACGTAATCCGCATAATGTGCCTAGTGGTATCTAGACCATAATGAGCATGATCATAATAATGGTCATAATCGCCGTAGTGGCCATAATTGACTTTTTCGGCGTAATTGTGGTATTGACCATAACGGCCATTATGGGAAAATAGCGGTAGTGACCATAATGCGCATAAGGGCCATAGTGCCTATGACGACCGAAATAGGCATTCGGCGCATAATGGCAATGTTGGGCATAATGGGAATAGTGCCCATAATGAACATGACATGTTGAACTAGCCAGAACCGCTGGATACTACATGACAGCGTGTTCTTCTTTAACGTGCCACCTCAACACTTTAACTTTAAGCTTGGTAACAGAGGGTTGCCGAACCTACCCCTATCGAATTCTGATCACATGTCTTCGGAGAATATCCCCGGAAACTTGATTATGTGCTAGGGTAAGAAGTATATAGATATATAGGTATAGGAGGTATAGGATGTACAGGAGGTACAGAAGATATAGGAGATATAGGATGTATAGAAGATACAGAAGGTATAGGAGGTGTAGAGGTATGAGAGATATTGAAGGTATAGGAGGTATAGGAGATATAGGAGGTATAGGAGATATAGGAGGTATCGGAAACACAATAAACATTTATTTTTTTTATAAATGATTTTTTCGAGCAAGGATCGATAAGTTGAATTAGAAATAGACGGTGTAGGAGACACAGTAAATAGTTATTTATTTTTTATGATTAATTTTTTCGAGCAAGGATCGATAACTTGAATGAATATATCTGACTGAATCACTATTCAAAGTCAAGCACCGTATAAATATTATCTGCACTACTTAATTAATACCTGCTATATCTCCTATACCTCCTATATCTCCTATACCGCCTATTTCTCGTATACCTCAATACTTCCTTAACCTATGTATCTATATATCTTTTACCCTAGGACATAATCGAGTTTCAGGAAATATTCTCCGAAGACATCATATGTGAATTCTCGTCAGTAGGATGTTCGCCACTGGTGACAATCCAGGGATATATTAACGAAACTCGCTGCCTTGTCACCAATTGCCGAAATTCCATAGGATGCGTTGGCGAAAGTACGATGGACTTTAGCCAGTTGTGATGGAGCAATGTGAACACAGAATTCATATATTTATAGGAAATTCACAATCAAGTTCGTGAAATTCTAGTAGAGGTATTGACGGAAGTACAGTGGACAGTCTCCAATTGATGAGATTGCAGAAGGTCTATTAGGGAAAGTTCAAGGGAATTTCGTATTGGCGAAAATCTTATTGGGAAAAGCCGGAATGCTCGTAATAAACACGTAGTCACTCGACATTATGTGCATAGAACTCCTAGGGCGTCACATCCTTCTATCACGGATAGTCCATGCAGCCTTACGACCTCACAGCTTTATATTTCTAGTAGTTCTTCTAGCATACAGCATTCATAGCCTAACCCCTAAGAGTATCTCCCACATTTAGCAGTTCTTCCGTATAGTCTTATTTCTTTATATAGCCTTATCCCCTTGTACCCTTACCCCTTTATAATCTTATACTTTCATAGCCCTACTTCTCTATAGCTTCACTCACAATGGAGATGTGTGTGTTTATATGTGAAAAGATGACACATGTTCAGGTCAAATGAAAGCTCTCATCGCCAAACTAATAAGGCTAAAAGATTAGCGGTCCTTGGTTTCTCTAGAGGAAGATATTCGATTTGTACTGTAGTTATATTACATGTAGAATTCCTACAATTCAGAATTTCAGTGAGATTTAGTTTTCTTTTTTCACAATGGTTGAATAGAGCTAATCGCATTGCATTAAAATAAGTATGCTTCAAATTTTGTAAAGAGATTTTTAAAAAAAGTTTTGGGTAGGATCGGCATTTTGGATCTTTTTTTTTATATTTGCAAATAACAGTAACTTGGACTCTTCGTTCAATATTTTTTAAAATCTCTTTTTAAAATTTGAAACATGCTTTTTCTAATGCAACTCGATCAGCCCTATCCAACCATTGTGAAAAAAGAAAACTAAATCTCACTGAAATTCTCACTTGTAGAAATCCTACATGTAATATAACTACAGTAAAAATCGAATATCTTCCTCTAGAGAAGCCAAGGGTCGCTAATCTTTTAGCCTTGTTAGTTTGGCGATGAGAGCTTTTGTTTGACCTGAATATATGCCATCTTTTCACTTATCAACACACATACCTCCATTGTTAGTGCTCTTGGTATTCACTTTTTGATGGCTGGGGCGATAATGTAGTGGTTCTAAGCGTTGATTATTAACCAGAGATCAGAAGGTTCGATCTCTTCTTCAGGTACAGTGTCCATAGTATTAAGATATACAATAATGAAAGAATAGAGAAAAAGAAGAATAAACAATATATTTAAATCTTACCATCAATGCTTCGATTCCGTTATTCGTTTTCTGTTCCTTCTGTTTCTTTTCTTTATATGTTATTGTTATCCTGTTTTTCGTAACCGTCCGCAAAACTAATACAAAAAATTACAAAAAAATATATGAATGTCATGTATAAAGTTTCAGTATATTCTTTAAAAAAATTCACTTTTCACAACCACAAACAATAGAAAAATCTTTCAATGTATTGGTCATCATTGATATTAGGAAAATGGTCTGCTTGTCATTGAGACGGGGCTATTTCAACCGTTTTCAGGCCTATCCTAGAACCTTGGAGAACATTTTCGATCATGCATACCGTAATAGCACTGAAAATTCTAGAGTGATGTAGAAAAATCCAATAAATGCCAGATCATTATAGTAGATATAGAAAACTCCAGATGGCTCTGAATATTCTAGAAAGAGTCTACATATTTCTAGAACTTTCTAGAAGACAGGAGCACTTTGTTTGACCTTTACTCTTAAACCTTGACCTTTTATCGTTAACCTTTGACCTTTGGCCATTTACCTGACTATATGGTCCGCAGTGAAAGTTTCAGAAAGAAGTGGAAAGCTCCAGAACATTCTAGAAACGTCTAGTTGGCTACACATAATTTATCAAAAATTGTGCAAAACTTTGAAATATTTCGTCTTTAACCTTCGATCGTTTATGAAGCACAAGCAGATATACAGACTGACACCGAACGTTGCACACATAGATGGCAATTACGAACATTCAAGCCATTATGCCACTTGTGCCCATTATAACCACTATCCCCATTATGTCCATTATAATCACTCTGCCTATATATATGCATATCTATATATATAATGTTCAGTGTGTGTGTGTCTGTCTGTCTGTGCCGGGTCAAAGGTCAAAGGTCAAAGGTCAAAGGTGAAAGATTCTAGAATTTTCTAGAACATTCCAGAATTACGTGTACCAAATTGAAGTTTCTAGAATGTTCTAGAATGTTCCAGAACTTTCTAGATCTTTCTGAAAGATTTGTGAAGGATTGCATGAACATGTCAAAGGTCAGAGGTCAAAGGTCAGAGGTCAGAGGTCAAAGGTCAACAATTAGAGGGTAAAGAACATTCGAGAATTTTTACTAACGATAGATGATGGTCATGAGTCACGGGTCATGAGTCATCAATGGTCGATAGACAGTTCAAGAGAATTTTCTCGAAGGTTCTAGGAGAGGCTACAAGAGGGTATAAATAGACCCGTTGGAGTTCGAGGCAGATCATTTTCCAAATATCAACGATGACCGATACATCAAAAGATTCTACTGCGGATCATGAATATGAAAAGTCAATATTAACAGCACATGCCGAAGGGAATATCTTCAATTTGAGCAATGCTGGTAACCAACTTGCACCCGAAGCATTACATGGAAACCATGACCTGAAAACTCTTCGAAGATCCGAAAGGATCCGACAACGACGTGCACAAGAAAGCGAGGAGAGCAGAAAGGAACGACTGCAAAGAGATGCAGCAAGACATCGCTTGCATCGTCTACAAGAATCAGAGCAACAAACGCAAGAACGTCGACGAAAAGGAGCATCACGAGAAAGACAACGGCGAGAGCAAGAAACGAATGAGGAACGACATGAACGACAAGTAGAAGATGCATCACGAGCAAGGCAACGAAGGGGACAAGAAACGAATGAGCAACGACATGAACGACAAGTAGAAGATGCATCACGAGTAAGGCAACGAAGGGAACAAGAAACGAATGAGCAACGATATGAACGACAAGTAGAAGATGCATCACGAGCAAGACAACAACGGCAGCAAGAAACTGGTGAGGAACGACGTGAACGACAACTGAAAAATGCGTCACGAGAGAGACAACGACGGCAACAAGAAACGGATGAGGAACGACGTGAACGCCAAGAAAAGAATGCCTCACGAGAAAAAAGACGAAGAGAGCAAGAAACTGATGATGAACAACTTGAACGACAAGTGAAGAACGCTTTTCGTCAGCGCCGTCGTCGACAACAAAGCTCATCTTTGTATGCAGCGGCACTTCGAGATGAATTTCCTTCTGAAAGTTATCATGGAAGAATGGATAATATTTGTCAACATTGCAATGCCCTTCACTTTAAAGAAGAATGCACATCCGATAGACACGATGAATTCAAGCAATGTTGTCACTATGGGTCTGTTCAACTTCCCGAACTTCTTCCATATCCAGATGAAATCAAAACTCTTCTACAAGGAACCGATGTTGAATCAAAACATTTTCGAGAAAATATTAGAAGTTACAATAGTGCTCTTGCATTCGCATCTATGGGAGCTGAAATTGATTTACCACAAGGTTTTGGACCCTATTGCTTTCGCATTCATGGACAAATCTATCATCGGATCGGCCCACTCAATCCTGGTCCTGGCCAGAGAGCTCAATTTAGACAACTTTACATTTTGGACTCATCCTTGGCATTAAAAGAACGGATGGGAAATGCTGCTAATGAAAATTGCAATGAAACAACAATGAGCAAACTTGGCGATATAATGAAGAGAATTAGTCCTTATGCTGCTGCCTACAAGATGATGCATGAAGTGGAACAAGAAGAAATTGATCGAGCTAAGAGAGAAAAACGAGCACCGCCTCCACTTCGAATGATTTTTGACATTAATCGTGGAATTCACGATCGGCGACTCTACAATCTTCCAACAGCGAATGAAGTCGCTGCAGTTTTCGTAGGTGAAGATAGTGAAGTTCCAACATATCGACATATTGCTATTCATCCACGTGGTCAAAGTCTTCAGACAATTCATATTATAGATCCCAACTGTGATCCAATGATTTATCCTCTTTATTTCGTCGCGGAGATAAAGGATGGTACCCAGAATTGGAAAAAACTGATCAATCACGAAATCGAAAAAGAGTATCAATGCTTCAATTCTACAGCTATCGATTGGCTATTTGTCCAACCTTCAGTGCCATCCAGTATGGAGGAAAATTATTCCAGCAATATATTGTTGATGCTTATGTGAAAACTGAACAAAATCGCCTTGAGTTTCATCGACAAAATCAAAAGGCTCTTCGAGTAGAATTATACCAAGGTCTAATGGATCATTTGGCAAATGAAGCTGAAACTGAAGGTTTAAGACCTGGACGTGTTATAATACTTCCATCAAGTTTTCAAGGAAGTCCTAGAGCAATGCAACAGAATTATCAAGACGCAACGGCAATCGTCCGATAATATGGAAAACCAGACTTATTCATCACATTTACCTGTAATCCAACATGGAGAGAAATCGAAGAACAGCTTTTTCCTGGTCAAACTCCATCCGATAGACCTGATCTAATTACCAGAATCTTTAAACTCAAACTTAATGAACTTATTGATGATATCTTCAAGAAACATATATTAGGACGAACGATAGCCAATGTCTTCGTAATCGAATTTCAAAAGCGTGGCTTACCACATTGTCACATGCTTATTATTTTGGCCAACGAAGATAAGCCAAAAGATGAAAATCACATTGACCATATCGTCTGCAGTGAAATACCAGATCATGTCCAATTTCCACAATTATATGAATGTGTAAGAAGGCATATGATTCATGGGCCATGTGGAGCATTAAACCCACATTCTCCTTGCATGGAAGATGGCAAGTGCTCAAAAGAATTTCCAAAAGAATTTCCAAATGATACTCTACCAAATAAGGATGGATATCCACGATATCGAAGAAGAGATAATGGAATTACTATGACTATTGGGAAGTATGAAGTTGACAATAGATGGATAGTTCCATATAATCCATATTTACTAATGAAATACAATGCTCATATTAATGTGGAAATTTGTGCAACTGTGAAAAGTATCAAATATTTATTTAAATACATTTACAAGGGACATGATTGTGCTAACATAAAATTACAACGACCAGTGCAAGAAGGTGCTGCTCAAGGAACTTTGGAATGGGATGAAATTAAAGCACATCTCGATGCAAGATATGTAAGCGCACCTGAAGCTGCATGGAGACTTTTTGAATTTCCATTACATGATAAGTCTCATGCTATTATCCGACTAGCTGTCCATCTTCCAAATCAGCAGCCAGTTTATTTTGCTGAAGGAAACGAACGACAAGCTTTGGAAAAAGCTACTATGAAAGACACAACACTTACTGCATGCTTCAAATTAAATTCAAAAAATCCAGATGCTCAAAAATATTTTTACCATGATATTCCAGAGCACTTCGTTTTTGAACGTAATGGAACATGGAAGCATCGAGTACAAGGTGAAAACATCATCGGTAGAATGTACTCCGTCAGCCCCAGTGATGTAGAACGCTACCATCTTCGATTATTACTGTTATATACTCCTGGTGCCTGTAGTTTTGATGATCTCAAAACAGTAGATGGCCACGTCTGTCAAACATTTATGGAAGCTGCTAAAAGACGAGGTCTATTGCGTGATGATACTGAATATGAAAAATGCATGTCTGAAGCCGTTATCTTTCAGATGCCACAACAGCTAAGAACACTTTTCTGTGTGATACTTCTATACTGGAATCCAACAAAACCTGTAGACCTCTGGAATTCGTTTAAAGCACATATGGCCGAGGACTTCATGCAACAGGTGGATGCTGAAACAGCAGAAGCAATGGCATTTTATGCAATCGATGAAAAGCTGAAACAACAAGGCCGAAGTTGTAGTGATTTTGGTATACCATCACTAACATCTGTTCCTTATTCATTTGAATCAAAAGTTATCAATAAAGAAGAAGAACTTCGAATAGGACAAGAAGTGTATGCAATGTTGAGTCAAGATCAACGTTCAATAGCAGATGCAATTCTTGCAAGTCATGGTAAACAATCAACCATCACTACTGGCTCATGTTTCCTTATCGATGGTCCTGGAGGTACAGGAAAAACCTATCTCTACAACACTCTGTACCATTTATTCATGGGACAAGGAGTCCACGTTATGACAGTTGCATGGACAGGAATTGCTGCAAGTTTATTACCTGAAGGAAGAACTGCACATAGTCGTTTCAAGCTTCCCGTACCTATATTACAAACATCTACATCAAGTATCCGACCAAACAGTAAGGAAGCTGAAGAGATTAGAAAGACTCAAATTTTTATTTGGGACGAAGCACCAATGGCTCGATGTTATGCTCTCAATGCAGTTGATATTTTGCTGAGAGATATAATGAACATCGATGCACCTTTTGGAGGAAAAGTTATGATACTCGGTGGAGATTTTCGACAAGTTCTTCCAGTCATTCGATTTGCAAACAGATCAGAATTAATTGCACCAAGTCTCAAAAGTTTCAACCTTTGGCCTTACTTCAAAGTCATGCATCTACAGCAGAACATGAGAACAGGACCAGGTGAAGAAGAGTTCTCAAAGTGGTTGATTAAACTTGGCAATGGTGAATTACCATCAAACGAATATGATGAAATCGACTTGCCTAGGGCCTGTTTGTTAGATAGTAATTTGGTCGATGAGATATTTGGCCAACACATTTCTATAGAAGATGTTCCAACTTTATGCAACAGAACAATTCTTTGTCCCAAAAATGAACATTCTCTCCTGGTAAATGAAGAAGTTCTTCAACGGCTACCCAGAACAGAAAAAACCTACACAAGTGTGGATGAAGTACAGTGTGAAGATGGTGATGATGTTACCAACTACCCTACAGAATTTTTTAATAGCCTTACACCTTCAGGAATGCCTCCTCATAAACTTAAATTAAAGATCGGTGCAATTGTTATGCTTCTTTGCAACCTCGATGTTCATCAAGGTCTATGCAATGGAATTCGGCTGATTGTGCGACGTCTACTAAATCATACGATTGATTGTGAAGTCGCAACTGGATCTAACACAGGAAGCCGAGTTCTAATACCAAGAATTACTTTGACACCCTCTGATCCGTTTTTGCCCATTCAACTACGTAGACATCAATTTCCTATTCGACTCTCATTTGCTATGACAGTTAACAAATCACAAGGACAGATCTTCGATCGATTAGGACTATTTCTACCACAACCAGTTTTCAGCCATGGACAACTTTATGTTGCTTTTTCAAGAGTTCGCTCTCTAACATCTGTCAAGGTACAAATCATCAAAGAAGAAAAAAACAGTGAAAGACATAAAACTAAAACCATTGTTTTCAAAGAAATTTTGTAAATTTGTTGTTTCAGAATGAAATGAAAATTACGTAAATAAATTCTTTTCATACAACGGAGATAAATATTTTAACAATATACCCGATAATCCGCTGATACTCACGAAGAACTTGCTTTCGATCATAAAAACTACCGTGCAGTATGCACGGGTTCGCGCTAGTTGAATTATATAGTGAACAAAATCTTCATTCTTACACATATGGAAATTGAACATAAAGTGGAACTTATTCATTACGATTATCATATTCGAGTATGGAAATTAGAATATTTTTGATATAAACCAAATGAATATCAAGTATGTTTCTCTCAAGAAAAATAAATCTTCTATTAATCTAACTAATCAAAAAATATTTTAGAAAGAATTAATCAAAACCAAATTTGTCAAAGTAAATATGAAAAAGAAACATCAGAACAAGAATAGCATTTTTTAAAACAAAAAATTGATTATTATAATTTACCGAGTCAATCAGTTAAATATTCATCAATAGCTTATTATCTATTAATTAATTCTATGCAAAATACAACTATTAGACAAGAATTATTTAAACACAACACAAAGAAGTTGCCGAAAAATCGAGAGCTGCTCGATATGATGTTTATCTGCAATCAACTGAAGGTTAACGAGAAGAATATAAGAAGAAATATGAAGCTGATGTACAGAAAATGCATTCGTCTAAAGATTCATTGAATCAGAAAGGAAAAAATATCTTCAATGATGATTTATCTTGTCAATCAATGTTATAATAAAGTTAATGAACGCATTAAATGTATCTATAAATTTAGATCTCAATCTATTTTTATGCAGTCTTAATTCTAATTCTAAATTGAATATTTCACATTATTTCTATTTTCATTAGTTTAATAACCATTTGATTCTTCCTGTCATTTTTCTTGTTCTTTTTCAGATAAATTGACTACTTTTTATTATACATACAGATCATTCTGTTCAAATAAATGTCGAAACCTTGGATTTAAATCCGAGAATTATGTGTACTTCAACAAATGAATGAGACAGATGAGTCATCCTAGAATGTATGGACACCAAAATTGTTTCGGCAAATCTTTTCTGTAAACATTTGATTTCTATAGGCTACTGTTCAACCAATAGGATTTGGAGGCAGATTCAGCTCACATTTGAACTCTTCACCTTGATTTACCTTTAGAAACTCGTTTTTCCTATAACTTGATTTCTATTAGTCACTGTTCAACCATTGGAATTTCGAGTCGCATGGAACACAGATTCGAGTTCTCCACCTCAGAAAACCTCGAACTATCATCTCTGTGATCGAAAGATAGAGCTCTAATTCTGGATCAATTAGAGGGTAAATAAACACAGAACTGAATTCTGTTTAATTATCTTTGCAATAGGGGAGTTAACTTTCTTGTTCCCTTATGTTTTATATACCATTTTGTAGCTCGTGAAATTCTCTAGCGAATGGTATATAATAGTTGGGGTTTTATTTGACTATGATGGAAAAAGTTTTGTTACGAAAGTAGAGAAGGGTCTATCTTCTCATAGGGAAGCATAGGGAAAAATGACTATTTTTCCAATAATTCATCAGTGGCTAGGCCAATCATTCTCATCTTCTTCTCTGGACCGAGATATTGTTAAGATTAAACTGTGTAGAAAATTTCATCGCGACTGGACTCTTCTTTCAAAGGTTATCGTGTAAACAGCCGGACGGATACATCGACCGATTCTAAAGTATACTCACTTTTTTAGTACACAAAAGAACAACTTTTGTTTAAAGTTATATTGTACCTCTTTAAAGATTATTGCTCATGTTCACTGCAGTGTTATAACTCTTTTATGTTTGTTATTTTTTTTAGATACTTATTAAATTCTAGATTAACTCGTTTACATACTTTCAGTAGAGTAAATCATGGCAAGTTCATCAAACAATTTCAAAACAAATTCCTATGACAATGACAATTTTGATGTGAATCAAGTAAGACGCACTTTTTCATGCCCTACATATAATTTTGTACCAATATTTATTTGATAGTGTGGAAATTTTCATTTGTCTGCTACGGCAATATTTAATGATCTTGATGCATGTGATAATAATCATATGAATAATGACGATGATGAATGATGCCAATCATCTAGTAAAACAAGATTATGATTTAGATAATATTTATGCTAGAGAACGAGTCGTCGACGACAATGAGTTAGATACGGATAGTGATGACGAAGATCATAACAAGATGAAAATAGAAGATGTCATATCCACAGATATATTGAGAAAGTCTGCAACTGGCAACAAAATCAAAGTAGAATCTAGTTGCTTCATCTTTTTCATTTATGAATTTGTTTTGTCTTTTTTGCAGCCGATCGAAGAACATGTTCTGTCACAGAAATTGAGTCAACTGTCAACTTCCCGGCAAAAAGAATCAAAAATAGAGTCGGAAAAGAAGCTACCAAAAAAGATTAAATCAGATCAACTAAGAGAAACGCTGAAGTATCTTACTAAAAGTAATAAAACATTTGAAAAAAAGATTAATTCGATTTTATCTAACAAAACAACAACAGCGGTAGCATCATCATCCGACAACTTAGAAAAATATCGACAAATAGCTATTTCGATTCATCGAATCAAATACATAGAGATTTTATATTCTCTTTGGAAAGTCTATTTACAATCGGGCTTGGGTCAATTAAAGTGTGATAACTTTCCAAATGAATCAGGTCTACATGTATGGGTAAAGCCTGTTCAGTCCATGGTCAAAGTGGCTGTTTGTTCAGGTCTCGAAAAGAATGATGCATGTTTAGCCTATGTGAAGAATCGTCTTGCTCAATTAGATAAATCTAAACAAGAATATCATACTGATCTACAAGTTCAATTAAATCATTTATCTAATCAAGCAAACATAATTCAACAACCATTAGAGAAATTCATCGTAGAAAATCTTCTTAGTCTACGGAAGAAAATTCAACATAAAATACAATTGGCTTACTTTGAATATAAGGAAGAAATCATAAAACACGAATATCTTAAACAGAATCCAAATGAAGCTCAAGTAAGATCATCAAAAATCTCATAACGATTAATCTATTCTGTTCCATTTCGTTTTTTTTCTCTCTTTCTCTCTTACTAGATAAAATTAGCTGAAGAACTCTGTACTGCAAAACAACAAGAAGAACTGAGCAAATGTACATCCGAACTTCTCGATAAACAACTTATTCATTACAATGCATCATATAATTTTGAACATTTACCAATCGCTCGTTTTCCTTTATTTGATTCGATTGGTAATGCCGATATTCAACAACAATTCTATGCTCAATATAGACAAATAATTGAACAAACAAAAACAGATATGCTCACTCTCTATACTCAGTCAGCTATAAGTCAACAGATGCGTTATCAAAATGGATATAATGATAGAATGAAAAAAATTACAGAAGACCAACAATTACTGCCAGATGAACAAAAATTAACTACGAAAATGATTGAAATAATCGTGCAACGTGCCCATCTTATTGAAGAACGACTCAAATGTGTTCATGATTTTAAACTTGAACAATTTTCTTGTCAATCATAAACATGAAACTATTTCCTTATTCATTTGTTTTAATTCTTATTCTCATTGTTCTTTATTTATTTAGTTGAAAATCTCTTACTTACATGTTAGGTTTTGTCATTTGTTTTTAGATTTTTTTCATATTCAATTTCATTTTTTCAAACATGAATGTCGATGCATCAAATCAACCGCTATCACCAGCTCAGCCGATGATCATAGATCAACCATTACAACAGGCAAATCCAGGAAAAAAACGCAAAAAATATCATGGTATTAAAAAATTACAACGTTTCAGTCGGAGACGACGTGATCGCGGCATTAGTGACGAAGCAATAAAGAAAATGATTAAGTCAGGGAAATTTGTGAAGAAAAAGAAAAAATCAAAACAATCGAAAAACGTTACTACTACAACGAATGCTCCTCCAACAGAAATTCTGGTCACATCAGAACCGAAACCAGTAAGTGCTGATCAATAACTGATGAAAGTGTGATAAATCACAAAATGCTTACTCTTGTATTCCTAGAAAAAACAAGAAATTCACAATAAACAGGAAAAATCTACTACATTTGCAAAGAAACGTAAACGAGATATTTCTTCATTTGAACTTCATCATCATTTGGTTCCATCGACAAGTAACGTAAGTCTTCGTCCAGCAGCACGCAAAAAAATGAAAAGAACCATTTTCATCCAATCAATCCCATCCGATAGTATCAGTGTGAATATGAATTATCCGTAAGTCATCGTTTATCTTTTTCCTTACGTAAATAATTTAGTTAAGCTAATGTATTATGATGACCTATTAGATTACCGGCTTATTTATCTCATTTACCACATTTAATCTTTCAAACCTTACGACAAGAATTTAATTGTGTAATAAATAAAAAAGATGAACGAATATTTCTTCATGTGCGCTTACAATTATTAGATCGTCAATATCGTCTAGAACTTGATCAAGGTTTATGGCAATCTTACTTAGATATTGGTCACGAAGAAAAATTATGGCCCGTAAGTTCACTACGATAAGGAAATTGTGAATGTCATTTAAATTTTCTCTTGCTGATTAATTTATTGCAGCGTTCATTATATGAAATGGCCAAAACCAATCAAGCAGATCTATGTGAAAATTATATTATGACACAATTAGCTATTACCGATGATTAATTAGAGCAATGCGATATGGAATTGGATAAACAAACGAAACCAGCGATATCAACTCTATCACCAACATTAGATATTATGGATACAAGTTTAAAAAATTATGTCTCCTTACAACAAAACTATTTAGTCGAACGTATACAACATAAAATAATGAAATTTAAGGATGAACTTCGTGATGAAAAATTGTATCGAGATTTGTTTTCTTACAATCTCAGCACTGTTCAACGACAAATGCTTGAACAGATCATTCATGTACGAATGACACAATTCCAAGTTTACGAAGAATTTATGATGCTTGAACAACGTATTTTACATCAGTTTCTACCACCGAATTTTGATCAATTTGAAAAGATTACAACACCTGATTTTTATAGGTCACCAATTACTGATCAGACACTGGTCAATATACGAACAAAACATCGTACAATCTTAAAAGGAGGAAAACGTAATTTACTAAATCTGTTTTATGCTGCCTATGAATATAAAGTCAATGAATATCAAGTACAGTATAAAGAAAATTTAAATCAATTAGAATTACAACAATTTTCTACTGAAATTCAAATCAATGGCATATCTTTAATCAACTATTTCAAAGCTTATATGTTACATCATACTCAAACAGCTATTGATAATATATTTCATAAATTAAGTCACTTTCGACAGATCATTGCTCAACGTTATCAACAATCATCAGCTGCCAAGACAATAGTCGGCGTATCACCTGAAGTGATTGTTGATGTTCTTTATTGTCCTTATAAATCTGAAGAATTATCTCACTTATCCTTAGGTAAGTATATTAAGACACATATATGATTCTCATTCTCGATTGATAATTTTATCTACGATTACATTTCATAGGTCCAAATTATGCTCGACCTAATCCAAGTGCTCTTCGTAAGTTGAAACATCGCGAAACACAAATAGACCATCATCTGAAAGATATCACTACGAAAGTTAAAAATCAATTAACGAACTACTGTCGTAGAGAACCACCAGTCCCAAGAATGAAACATTATTCTGAACTAGTTGAAAATGTACTTCGACAACATTATATGGCTCCATTATCCTATGTTGATCGCATGCGTGCTCAACGAGAATTCAAATTAGTTAAATCTATTCGACGGAAGGCACAACATGCGAAACTTATTATACGTATTTGCGATAAAGGTGGTGGTTTTCATATTGGTAGTAAAAATGATTATGAAAGAAAAGCAGCTAAATATCGTGATGATACAAGAGCCTATCAAGAATTACCATATAATCCATTGAAGGAAATATTCACTAATGTAACAAATGCACTCAATATTCTCAAGAATAATAAGCAATTACCACTCAAGGAATACAATCGTCTAATGCCAAAACTGGATCAAGTCAAATTATCTTACATGTATTTTAATCCAAAACCACACAAGGTTAATAATCTTCTTTCATAATTTATTAACAATGATGATTGCCTTAAATATGTAATTTTCTTTTGTTTCTTTTATTTTGTTTAGGAAGGAACACCATTACGACCTATTTTGAATACTATTAAATCAGTAACAAGACCTATTTCCGATTTCTTAGATGAATACATTCGACCTATCTATGATCAATATAATAAAGAGAATACAATTATTGATGGTGTAAATCTTATCAAATGTCTGGAAAAATATGCTGCTGATGGTCATCTTAAACCGTCGACTCTTTTCTGTACTTTTGATATCAATAACTTATATACCATGCTGCCACAAGATGAATCCATTCGAATTCTAGGTGAATTTCTTCATACATATGTTGGTAAAAGAGTTAAAAATATCTCAGTTGAAACTATTTAAAAATTGGCTGAAATTGTTTTAAAAGAAAATGCTTTTGTCTACGATCATAAATTCTATAAACAGATTATTGGTGGTGCAATGGGTTCACCATTTACATTAACTCTAGCCAATATATTTATGTGGCATTGGGAACAACGTTGGATTCGACGACAATCTAGTAAGAATGAAATCTATGGCCGGTATGTGACATCTTAATATCTTTATATATATATATATATATATATATATATTCTGCTATTTCTATTCATATTCTTAGATATATTGATGATGTTTTCTTTACATCGAACGAATCCATTGAACTAATTCAACAATTATTACAGGATGCTAATGGATGGCATCCAAATATAAAATTAGAATCAAATATTGCAAATAGTGTTCCATTTTTGGATGTACTCTTGACTAATACTAATGGAACTCTTCATACATCTGTTTATCATAAACCATCAGCTGAACCATATGTTGTTCCATTTCTTTCGGATCATCCACGATATACATTTCCAAATATTATAAAAACAGCTCTTGTTCGAGCCATCCGATATTCATCAAACTTCGAAGTTTTTAATATTGAACGACGTGCTGTTCGATTGATGTTATTATTTAATGGGTAAGAATTTCACGTCTATAATAATAATAATAATATATTTATAGTTTTATGTGTATTCATGACATCATTTTCTAGTTATCCGACCGGATATATTGATAGAGAATTTCGAAAAATCTTAGGAAACCAGATATCATCAGATTCAATTCTGCCAACAGTTGAAAACGAAGAAAAATTTATTGAATTACGCAAAGAATATATGAATCAACCTACTGCTCGATCTTCTCAAATCGAAGCACGTACCTCACAATTCAAAGAAAACAAGGAAGAATCTCACATAGAACAACTTGTTCAAACAAGAACAACCGATACAAAAAAATCGAAAAATAGCAATTTTCGTGACGCAGTGATTATACACTATACACATGAAAAGCGACTTTCGACTATGAAAAAAGATATGCATAAGATTTTTCGTGAAGCTTTTGAAGGTTATGGTTTAGAAGCTCTTAGACTTATTGTCGGTCATCGAAATCATCCGAATTCTGAACGTGAATTAACACGTAAACGACCACCTCTCAAATATCTTACATTAAAACAAGAGGAAAGTAAGAATTGTTGTTACGAATAGATTTATATGTTCTCTACTGTATTCTTACGAATATTATAATACCTACTTCTCTAATATCTTCTAGAATCGACATCAAAAACTGAAAACCAATCTACAATATAACGCCGAATAAATACTATGAACAATGATGCTTATAAAATATTGAACAATCGATCAACATGAAACATATTTACTGTTTTCTTTCTTAGTTATATCACTTTTTCTAGTTCTTAATTGTGTTCTTTTTAGTTTGTTTCCGATATTGCTGTCTTTAGCATAGATATTGCATGAATAGAATATTCAGTTTGTCTAGCGATACACTATCCCTATTTAGAATACTAAATATTAAAACATCTATGTCATTTCAGATCATATTTCACTTTCTTCACCCATCAACGCCTGTCTACAACGTATCGAAACGCGGAAGCGTAAGTTTTTAATTTTTCTACTCGACAAACGTCTTTTGAAGATGTAACACATAGTCACTAGCTCTTCTGGAAATTGGGTGGTTTGACTCAGAGACTTCTTGGAATATTCTACACATATAACTTTCGTTACAATCAACGATCTCTTCCTTCTCTCTATTCATATGTTTTCATTTCTATTTTAGATCGCGAAGAACCAAAGTCATTTAAAATTAAACTCCAGTCAATTCAATAACTAAACAAACCGACAATTCCACAGGTTGAAGGACGTACACATCCACCGACGATTCGAAACAAAAAAAATGACCAGTTATTTTTTGCATCAAACAACAAAAACACAAAAATAAATGAAAACAATTTACTCTCGTCCGTAGAAGAACAAGATCATAAAAACAATGAAATAAGTCATTATTCTAAAGAAGCAAAAGCTTCCAAAACCCACCACTGATCCACAATTGGCAAAATTTATTTAATCTCTCAAGGATCAAACACCCAATCGACAACATTACCGAAAATCTCACTCTTATGCACAAAAAAAAACTTGTCCCAACGCCGCCACTCAAAATGCAATCTTTCATATACTTATATACAGAAAGATTCAATTCAGTTTCGAATTTTCGAATTCGTTACGAATGCCATTTGATAAGCCTAGTTGCTTAGGTGAAATATCGATATCATGGTAGCTTAACACACCCACACCCACACCCTTTCCAAATTGTCAATTATTTCATTTGATAGTTGATATCATCAGATTGATGAATATCTAACAATAAAATATTTTGTTAAAACTTATTTTTCTGAAACCTAGTCAATAAAATAATAATGCAGTAATAGACAATTTAATGACTTTATTCCAAGTCGAAGATGTTTTGTTTATTCAAGAGACTTGTTGACTTGAGATAAACTTGAAATATCATGTTGACATGTTCAACAACTCAATAGATAAAAGTAAGTTAGAAGAAGAAGAAAATAATTCTTTAGAATGTCTTCGTCAAAGTTTCTGAATAGCATCAAATGTAGTAAATATTCGACCTCATATTGATTTAACTTCACAAATACCTGATAGGATCAAATATTGTGTTTATGGAATGGATTATATGTATTTTGCCCTACAAGCTATCCAATAAACTTTCTTGTTGTATCTAACTATTAGAATCATATACGAATTAATTACGGAATCACATTCGAGTATCTCAATCTTAGATAAGATTTTATTCTTTGAATAAGTATGATTGAACAATACTAAAAACAAAAAGATAATTGATAATCTTCACTATCAAATTCAAATGAAGAAATAAATATTTTTTACATTTAAGAGAGAAATATTATCTTAACAAAATATACTAAATCAATGAATTCAATCGATAAATAAACAAGAACGAAAATCGTCATTAGTGGATGTATATTTAGATTGTGAATTTTATGTCTTTATGACGATTATTGACACTATTTTTTTTTCTTGTAATCAATTAACAAACAAAGTAAATTCACTCTTCAACTTATAATAATGAGAATTGTTATTAATGAAAATAGTTATGAGACCCATTTGTGGTCTTATGAATTCTTGTCATTTTCACTCAACAAAAAGATGATTTGTTTTTTGAAAGAAAAGTGAATATTCATATTCAGGCATTAATCAAAATTAATAATGTTTATTTTTTTTTCTACTTGAAAGAAAGATTCAGTTGAATGATACTTTAAACAGATAATTGAATTCAACTATCTAATTTATTTGTTACTCTCACGTTTCATCTTCAGATTCTAATTATATTTAGACTTGAGTAGTATTAGTAAAGAAAAACAAAATTAAGCATGATTTCAACAATAGAATGAGATACTTCTAATGATAAGAAATATAGAATAATAACAAATATCGATGCCTGATACAAGCATTCTTACGTTGAATTCTTTATATTACGAATCATCTCTATCAAATAAGTTCGACTAATCAAAATTTCATAATGATAAAAAAAACGATTTCTTGTTCGAATAGTTTTACGTTCTACTGAAGAAATTTCTTCACGAATATAATTAAAACCAGTGTTTTAGCTAGGTTTCGTTTTTCGGGTGGGCTACAGAAGAATAAGTTTTATACGATGTAGCAATGACATACAGTGGGGAGCTTTCGCATAAGCAGACGGACATGCAGTTTTTTTTGCTTACGAGTGCCTTTTATTTGACTAAAACAATAGTATATCACTCAGAAAACCGTTTCTAAGAAAATAAAAAAGTTTTTTTTTAGAAAAATTTGTTTTTCGAAAAAGTATCACTGGGTGTGGGTGTGGGTGTGTGCGAGTGTGGGGTGTGTGTGGGTGTGTGGGTGTAGATGTGGGTGTAGATGTGGGTGTGAGGAAAGAAATACTACATCCACACCCACACCCATCCACACCCCACACCCACACGCACACCCCTTAGAAGATATACAATGGTTATATTCAAATAACAAAAAAATACGTCAACCATTGATAAATGAGTAAACAAATGTCGTTAATAATGACGTACCTTTAAAAAAACCCTGTCGGTCGGTTGTATACTCACGTTAAAAAAAATTCTCGAATAGATTTTATCTAAAAATAAATGTGGAAACACTGGATTTAAATCCGAATATTATTATATGGTGAAAAATGAAACAAACGACTGAAAAATTTATTTACAGGAACTATTTTGCTTTCTACGATGGACTTGTCGATGATGAATGACTGATTTTATAAACCATGGATGTGCTCGATTATGTATTGAACTCGAGATCGATCTTACATCAATACCAGATGCATTCATAACGTCCTTCTCTTCTTTGATAATATCTTCAGTGAGCCATCGAAGAAAGATGTTCGCATTTGTTGCTTCAATGGATACTTTCTGTTCGCGCATATAGTCCAAAGCTTGACGCATTCGATTTTCCGTACATGCATAGTTGAAAAACTCCTTCATATTGGCTACTCTTGTCACACGGACTGGTACCAAGACTTTGTCTTGACTGATCAAATGCTGTCGACCCTTCACTTTGAAAGTGAGATCACCTTGTGATTGAGTCCATTCTGTCCATACAACACCTTCACCAGTACCTTTGATATTGAAATAGGCACCGACGGAACACTCTTGTTCGACTTGTTCTGTAATGGTAGTCAATGTTGCTTGAGAAAGTTCGGGTTGATTGAAGTCAATGTCAATTTCGCAACTAGGAAAGTCGTATATGTTGTAAATGGAACGATCAGGCCATTTGATATGAGCCCAATGTGTCGGTTCAAGCCAGAATGACTTTGAATTAGTAGATTCTTGTTGTTGTTGTTGATCCTTCTTGGACATTTGAGTTACCATTCTAATCTTAAAAACGACAAACATCTTTCGTAAATAACAAAGAGCAACATTGGGTTGAATATTCTCACCACACCATTCGCCAAAAATCACTACTTTTGCTCCTTGTTCGTAATATTCCCGAATGGCTGGACTTGATGGAAAAACATGGTTGATAAAGAACGGCTCTGCTAGTGGCTTCATATATTGTGCAAAACCGGCGTTGTCGTTCACTGGTGTGATGATCCGATTACGCGATTGACACCAGTGCTTGACATCATTTGAATAGCCTATGGCTGCGTTGGTACCATGCAGTTTCACGGTACCAAGGAATTTGAGCACCGGCAATTGCTGATCATGGTTGTCATCGGAAGGCTGCGCACGGCGAGTGATATCGCTGACAATCTATCGATATTGCAATGTTTCTGGATAGACAATCATTTGTGCCATAACGTACAGAAGATTGCAAGTGAAACGCTGTTAACACGCACGAACACACATTTCTTATACAACATGTTGCAGTAATTGTGCAAGACTATGTGTCATCGGTTTTCGCAAGCCTAATAAAGGTGAAGAAAGAAAAATGTAAACTTTTCTCTTTCCAACGTACGTTCTGTTAGAGAATTACCATCGTCTTCGTCTGATTCACTTTTCTTCCGTTCTCCGAAAGATAAGTGTGGTCAGAAGACATTTTTTTCAATCTACTCTCAGACGATGCTTATGGATATCTTTTATTATGGAATCTAAATGAAAAATACCTGGTGCTCATTTGATGAGGATCATGTTACAAAAGAGAATAGTTCTCGGATTTGTGAAAAAAAAAATGGATTATCAAAGTTTTGATAAACGTCATACTCAACATACAAGTAAAAGCTCTTTTATTTCATTTTATAATTTATAAATTAAATTTTTTTTTTCCAAACGATTGACTCGATGAATACGATTAAAAAAAAAATTTTCTTAATCAATTAATTCAAACCACTTCTAAGTGATTTCCATACTTAATCTATGTTAATGAAAATGGTAGGATTATAATAATCAGAATATTTCCTTTTTTTAAATACATTCTTGTTGTCGAACTCGACCGAGATATTGATGAGACAATTCTGTGTGCAAAATTTTTGATCTTAATCCCATGACTTTTCGAAAAGTTATGGTGTAAACGATTAGATAGCCGAACATACTGACTGTTTCGAAAGTGTACTCTCTTTTTGAGTACATAATAAGTGAAAATAAATGAAAGTTAAGATTCGCTTTCGAAGCACTGTCCACTATTCATCTTTTGTCAATCTAATTTACTCATGACTCTATAATATGCAAAGAGTAAATATTTACACAGTGAGAAGCTGTCAAGAAATGATCAATTGATGATTAATAAGCTTATTATTTCCTATAGATTGACCATTTTAATTCTATACATTGCTTTTTTTTTGCCATCGTTCTCCTCTGCTTTTTCTACTATTTTTCTTCAGGAATTTTCAAATGTTTTACACGATATTATTGGGAAACTTCACCTTAAGGCCTCCTCCCCACTCAGAAATCGATCTCAGCCCAGGTACTTTCAAATGAGCTGAAATTTGGAGCATATGTTGGGGCTGAAGTAAGGAGGCTCTGGTAAAATTTTCAGCTCGATTTACTGACGTTTGACAGAGATATGAACCAAACAAGGGTCAAAAATAGGTCATTTGGCAACCCATTTTTCTCTGTTCAGGCTCTTTCAAACAAAAGAAAATATAAATATATTGACTGACCCTGGACAGAGAAATTTGGGATGTGCGATCGAAAAAGCATAAACTGAGAAAAAATGAAAAACATTTCTTGAAAAAAAAATTTTACGATATTTTAGCATTTGCAAGCACTTTTCGGTAGATTTCAACAGAATAATTACCAACTGTCCTGTATCTTTTATAACTACGCACAAATAACCTTCTTTTGGCGCTTGTTGAGCTTCACTAAATAAATAATTTTATTATCCAGGACATAAACATAATGGGCTTACTCGAAAATGTTCTAATAAAATTAAAATACTTATTTTCCATTCAAAAATCTCAGAATCCATTTTTTTTCCCAGAAAAAATCATATTTTTCACGCAGCTGACTACAGAAATCATCAAAATGTTCAGTCAAAAAAAAGGAGCATTCGATAAAAAATCATATCGTATCTGAAATATCTGAAGACGAGCTATCTTCCTATGCATTTATCTCAATTTCGAAAATTCTGATGAAAACCTACTTTTTTTGAGTGGGAGGAGGCCTTAAAACATTACTGATTTGTATTTTGCTGTTTTAATTGTTATTTTCAATTATGTACACTACTTTCTCATGGAATGCTTATTGCACATACTTTCGTTGGGCTTTTTTCGCGAGAAAAGCGTTGTAATTGAATGACATATACTTGAGTATTTGCGTTCTCTTGCGCAGAGCAAGCGAATTTGATAAGGAATCGACGAATGGCGAAGTTTGTTGAGTGTCAACACCATTAGTTTTTTTCCAACTTTCAAAGAAAGAAAACACAGTCAATACACAAACAGGTGAAGCAAAGCTGATGCAGCATGTGCGTTGACATCGGTGTAATTGTGTTGTCAGTGCTGCTGCGAAGGCACGCGGTCTGAGACAGTCTTGTGCAACATCGATTATATAGTGCAGTGAGACTAAAAAAGCCCTCAAGATCGATTGTGGTCTGTTTCCTAAAGTACTTTAAAATCTATTGTTTGTTTTACATAATAAAAATGGAATTACAGTGACTTAATGGTTCGGTTAATTAAGTAGATGCAGATAACGAAATACTCAGATTTTGAATAACGGGGTGTGGGTGTGGGTGTTATTGAAAAAAGATAGACCCCGACACACCCTACACCCACACCCTCTTGGTGTAGGTGTTGGTGTAATTAAGTAGTCGAAAACAACTCACACTCACACACCCACATCGACACCTATACATCCACGCCGACACCCACATCCACACCCACACCCACACCCAATTCGATAACTCATCGAATAAAAACACAAATAAAGATTTGTAACATAATTTTTTATTCTTTCACGCAATTAGGACTAATATTCACAGTACATACACTATATCAAGGGGGAAAAAGCCGAATTTTTGATTGCCCAGATTGCTTTGATTGCCTATTGATTGTCAAAGATTGCCAATGATTGTCAAAGATTGCCAATGATTGCCAATGATTGTCAATGATTGCCAATGATTGTCAATGATTGTCAATGATTGTCATTGATTGTCTACATCTTTTTATATTGAAAAACAGTTAGCTGAAGGTTTTATAGCAATCATAAGATATCTGTGTTGGATCATCAAAAGGATTTGTTGGCTTGACTTATAAATTTTCATAGAAAACGTAAATATACTAGCAAGGAAAATATGATAAATTTCTGTGAGTTCTTAGCAAGTAAAGCGAAAAAAAAACAGGCGTTTCTAGTATTAATTAAAATAAGCTTCAGCAGTTTATTTAACACAACAAAGAGAAAATATAAATAGACAATATGAAAAAATGTAAGAGAAGTACATTTTATTTATTATTAGTCATAACACGTTTTAAACGGTCAGAAGACAAAGTAGGCTTATCCTTTGAAAGAAGCCAAGCAGCTGTTTGTTTATGTAAATATTTTTTTGTACCATTGATATTAACAATAAAGTATGATTTAGCTAAGGTCGGATTAATCCAATCGAAAACTCGCATTCCGTGGAACGTCGAAGCGCTAATGTTGACGAGATTATCAGACAGGTCGTTGTCATCGTCGAATGAGTCTTCATCATCAGCATCATTTGCGGTGATTTCGTCATCTCCTTCAGAATTGCTATCGTCTGAATCTGAATCGAAATCCGAATCATATTTATCAGGACAAGAATAATCGACTATTCGTGATTTCATAAGTTGAAGATTAGCTAATCTAGACATCTTTTCTAGTGGTAAAACTTGATCTTGTTGACAGATATTCATATCAACTACTAGACTACATACATCGGAATATGCACGTAAAATAGTATTCTCGATCGCTTCAAGTGAAAGTGATACAGTAGAAAATGATAAAGACGATATTTGTTTAGAATCAATTGTTTTTGATAGTTTGTGATGACGTGGCAATAGAAAATTGGTATTTGTATTATTGCTGTTGTTTCGACTTTTAATAGAATTTAAATAAGATAACTTCTTTACTCGTTGAAGAAATTGATGAACATTAAAATTGACTATTGAGGAAAAAGGTCCTGACATGGCACGACATGAACGAAAGGTACTCTCACAAGATTGTGAGTTAAATATTGATACGTTCAAACATTGTGGTGGTAAATGATTTTGAATTACGAGTAGACCGAGATAGACGAGGGTGTGACTGTTGATTTCGATCGAAAAAAGTTATGGAAGACTAATGAAATACTGCTGCTTTGTATTTTTCTTTTGATGTTTTTGTGTAGAAGATAATTTGGAAAGAATTAAATCAAGATCACTTTTATGTTTTGAACTTAACCAGATGTACCAATATCGGATCAGGAAGACATTTTTCCATGAGTAGTAAATTCGATCAAGATAACTAGTTTCCTTATTGATAAAAGCCAATCGAATATTTCGAATGAGCTAGGGTATAAAAAAAAATATATGAGATTTTTTAATACCTTTATACTCGTAAATAGACATACTTCAAGGTAAATTCGAGTTCCACGTGAGTTTGATATAGAAACAAGTCCATCAAGAACAGATTTATTTGATATTTTTTCGCAAGATGAATAATTCTGCCTATCCTTCGGCAGAATGTCTGACTTGACTAAATTGTGGTTCATTTTTGATGAAGATTCAATTAGTTGAATAAGATGATCAATACTAATAAGTTCATCACCTAATAGCATTGTAGCTTTAGAAGACAACAATCTATTCCTTAGCTTGGTACATAAATGGATGCCGTCTTGAAAGAATAATATCATTTGACGATTTCTCATAAAGAACCAGTTCCAATTCTACAACAGAAAAAGAAAGCAGTATGAAAAAGTTGGATAATTTAAAATATTGAAACTACTTTAGGAACTTTAGCATGAAAGGCATCATCACGTAAATGGATTTGTTGATTTGGCATATCAGCATAAAAGTCCATGAAAAGACGCATTGAGCGTAAATAACGTGGATCACAGTCGGTGGCAAAACCGACCACTTTTACATGCTTTTCATTACAATGATTAACAACACTCATCCACTTCATTAATGTATCTTCGGTTTTGAATTGATTATCAGTTCCATAAGCAGCAAGAAGGAATGATGAACAAGAAACACCATTTGGATTAATCGGTTGAATCATTTGAAGGTTAAGAAAATGAGATCTGGTTAGTGTATTAAACCATTTTTCGAGTTCAGAAAAGGATTCAGTTGAAAATGAATTCATTTTTGGCAAGCCATTTTCAAGAGGAGGTGTGAAACCAATAAATGTGTTCGCTTTAACATCATATATTATTCGGGGCACTACAGCCGTGCAGTCTTCAGCAACAAATATAAGATTTATTTTTTCAGATGCAAGATAATCGGACATGGGGTTGTATCTAAATTCTGCTTCTTCGATTCGGCTTGTGGTCGAGTCAAGTAAATATTGAATGGTAGTTAAACTTGGAAGAAAACCTGGAATGTTGATGCGAATGAATTCATACACATTTCGACCACCGAGAATGTAGACACACGAAGCAAAATCACGAATAGAATCATTGTAAGAATAATGAGTCTTTGCACGATCATGATTTGAAATAATTGTTTCGATAACTGTATATTTAAAAGTGTTGAGAAAACGATTCGATTGCGATGAAGAATTTTGAAATACATGAATAATGTCTCGAAGAATAGGATGTTGATCGAGAAGAGCAGAAGAAATAGTCATATCGTTAGCTGTCGATGAATATGTTTGTTGTTGAAGTTCATGTAATCTTTGCATAGAAGTATTTGCTTGAAACAAGAGACCTTCTTTCACTAGAAAATTTCCATTGCTTAAAGTAATTCCCACTTTGTTTTTCATTGATATCAGGTCGGGTGAGTCGTGACGAAAAAACGCGAACAGATCTTGTATATTAAGAAGACAGTCGGCAGAGTTGATTTCCAGATAACGTAAGATTTCGACCATTGTGGTTCCACATTGCTGTGGCACCACCTCCAAAAAATCCTCATCTCGCAGCTCAAAAATGTTATTAGGTAATGGCATAGGTATTAGAAGATTTTTACTAGAAACAATGTAAGAGATTTTAGCTAGAAATTTTTATATTAAAATCCAAATGATTAATTAATCGATTGAATAGTATCAAACATGGAAAAATTTTAATAATAAATATTCTATGAATCGTTCGATGAAATACGTTCACCGAAAGCTCGAATAAATAAAAATAACCATTGAATTTTGTTAGAAATTCTCATGTACTTTGTAGCAGTTATTTATTCATTTCTCTCCTCATTTATATCTACTGCTTTACCTAATGGATTTATGAAAAATATTCTATAACTGTCTTTATATAAATGAATATCAAAGTCTAATGAAAAATCAATTACTTTAATTTCGAAAGACACATTAGTATTAAAAAATCTAATAGATACATAATAAATAAGTGTTACAGTTTCTTATATCGCCTTGTTCTACATAACTCGAAAATAATAACTACTTTTCAAAAGTTGATTCATATGTACAGACAAATAGCAACTCTAGAAAATAAACAATAAAAACAATTATTTTCTGTTGAGATAAAATATCTAATTTGATCGTTTTTTTTTCTTTGAGACATTTGAAATGGAACGAGTACGATTTTTGCTTTTGGAAGATGCAGTTGTGATTGAAATTGATTTTGATTGACGTGAAATCGATAAAGTTGATTGAGTTTGACTTTGTTCATTGTTACTAGTGCCATCATTGTCAATTAAATTTTGTTTGTTTTCAGTCATCAATAAGCACTTGCCAGATTTGAAATGTCGATAGATATTCGAAAACTAAAACAAGAAATTTTTTTAAAGTAGAAAACTCTTTAGAAAGGATCTTTATTTTCTTAAGTAGAATAAACATTACATAACCAAGATTAATCTTCAAATTAACTGATCAATTTTGTTTCATTAAAATTTTTTTAATTCTTGCTAATATAGAAACAAGAAGTAGACGAAAAGGTTCTTATTAAATCATTTTACTTTTGACATGCCAGATACACATAGAAACTGTTTTAGAAATGAAGTTTTGATATAATTGAACAAGGTAATAAAGACTCAAATCCTCAAAAAAGCTTAATGCACAGAGTAAGCACACAATAAAACGAGTGTACCGACTAATTTTTAGAATTAAATAAATCAATTTCTTACCACAAGAATTCCTTGTTTTTGTCCAATAGAATTTTTTGCACCACATTTACAGATCATCATAATTCCATCTTGTCGCTTGTTTAATTCTAATCGAAAATCAACACCTTCCTTAAAATTAGTATTTACTAAGTTTAATTCATGTTTATTTTTATCAAGCCAATCAATAATAGTTCGTGTAATTCTATTTGTTATTTCATCTGTAAGAGGATTAAATGTAGTTCGAGAATTAGATGATGAAACGTTGAATGAATCAGGAAGTGTAGATGCATGTGAAGGAGGAGATGTATGAGTTGAAGGATGAAATATTGATGAAGCATTTTGTGTTGGAATGATCAACGTCGAGCTTGTAGCTAATGAAATTGAAGAATTAATAGCATGAAGTCGTTCAGCTTGTTTATTGAGTTCTTCTCGTTTCTTTTTAAGAACTTTTTTAAGATTAATGATTGATGATTCAAGACCTAGTAAAAGAACGGTAGATCCATCACTTAATGTAATACACGTGTTTTTCTTCAGTTCATTTAATTGATCAGATTTCAATTGAAGAACAGCAGTAACATCTTCGCATCCAAGAAATGAGTCAACTCCATTGCATTCTTGAAAAGAAAGCAATTCTGCAACTTTTTTCCCAGAAAATTGTCGAATAAAATCATAAAATGCTTCATCTCGAAGATCCATAATATTTAAAGGTATAGGTTTCGTATTTACAGATTTATAAGTAGACATTATAATAGCAGTATAATTTATTAAATAAACAGCCTGTGTGAATTTCACGTGAAAGATAGAAATAAATGAAAAAAACGAACAAGACGCAAAAATTTTTTTTCGTTCTGTCTCGTATTACATTGGCGAATGAACACGAGACAGCAGAACAGAAGAATATCTAGGTTGTAAATAAACTATCTATCACTCATTATTTTTCTCTTGAATTTATTTCGTTTGAACGATATCTACTGCAGTAATATAATTCATCTCGACATGAGAACTAAGCGACAAGCATTTTTGTTACTGTTAGAAAACACTGTACTCGATGATTGTCAATGATTGTCAAAGATTGTCAATGATTGTCAATAATTGTCAATGATTTATTTGATTGCAGTCAGCTTTTTCCCCCTTGCACTATATACTCTATGGTAGAATTTCATCTTTCTACCTATGATTATTACACAGATACAAGTAATATTAGAATTATAACAATCATTGCATTTAGGTTGTAAATCATCCATAATCTGAAAGATGGCAGCTATTGAATTACTTATTCAATAAGAGTAAATTTTGCTTTTCTGCATTTTACACTTGCGTTCTGTCATTTGTCCACAAAGTGATCAATAGAAAA